TTAATATTCACTGACCCTACTAAAGGTTTGGCCAGTACCCAGGCATAAATGGCTGCCAGATGCAAAGCTGAAGGAGGCAGGCTGAACTGTACAGGACACAGGATTCCATCCGACTTGTGCCAGAGCGAGCGCTTCTATACAGAGAACAGCTTGCTTTTGTGTCAGACAAAGAGAAGCCTCTGATTTGCGCACATTGGCTAGCTCCCTGCAGCTAAACATAGAGCCAAAGTGAATGACAGGGAGAGCGGCCTGGTAGGTGATGACAATTACCGTTATTAGCTCCGTTGTAAGTTTATTCAGCTTTACAGCTGCACTGTATTTAAACAAACTCCTGGCATTTCAAAGTCCGCTAAATAAAAAGAATGCTTAAGCTAGCTCCTCTCTGGCTCTACCTACACCTGCAGCTGTGACATATGTCACTTCAGAATGGTGCCACCCAATGGTGACAACCAACCTGTGGGAGATCCTCCATAATGGTCCTAAAGGAAAATAAATATTTTTGGCCAATTTATTTGACATTTTCTTTAAAAGTGAATACATTTTTAAAACAGATGTTTTATGGAATTTTCTAATTACTTGTATAAAATCTTTATTTACAAATAAGCAGGCTGCTTCTCAGTCTGCGATGTATGCAAGTCTTTCTGTTAAAAATACACAATATTGCCTGCATGATTTTTGTTGTCTGAGTTTGAATGACTCAGTGAAACAATCCTGGGGGTGCTTCATTTCTCTCGGGTCTTTGGCAGTCTGCGGAACCTGATATTCCCACTATTAAGGACTATTAATTTTAAGGAAAACGTAGATTTTGCTTGGATTCAAATATTGGCAATTAATTTATGAAAGGAAAATATTGATTATACATAATTTTTCATTGTTTAGCACATTTAAAATGACTAGGCACAGCGCAACACAGATGATCTGAATAGAATTGGAAGTGCATACGCTTTTGTGAGTGCTGCAGCTTGCTGCAATAGATATTTAACAAACATTAGTTTTACATCCCAGCGTGGTTCAATTGTTCTTATTATTTGCTTGGAGCTTGCACACCGGTTATAAATGAAAAATATGAAATATAAATATCCAATATTTAATATTTACATGATCAAATATAAATACTACTATCATAAAGTCATATTTTAGTACTGGACATAAATAAATTAAGGCAATACAAATTCTATATAATATCTCTTTATGAAGAATCCAGCAGGGAACAGTTAATGCCATTGACCAGCAGAAACCCAGAAGGTGTCATAGGCATGATAGTGGTAGGAAGGTAAGGTCAGGGTCTCTGGAAAATTAAATCCCTGCCAATAGCAGTGGCTAGCTGTGGTGTACCTAATGTATGCTTTGAAGAAATGGTGATACATCATAGTTACTAACACTGGAAAACAATGATTGTGCTGGGCCCAGTCCTCCTTATTTGTCTCTGTGCCTTTTCCCTAGCTTCCTGTTAACTCATGCAGAGATTTGGATGTATGTTTATGAGTTGGTTCTCCTTGTGGCAGGAGTACTCAGTTCTCTTGTTTTTGGGTAGCAGTCCCCTACTTGTCATTACAGTATATCTCCATTATGGTATTGTTTAGTATCTAAGGTACAGAATGGTTGTTTCTGTACTACTACGTATTTAATTGGTCAAATGCTGTGCCCCTATCTTTCAATTTCTGGACAGTTGCTTTGTTCTTATTTAAGTTTTCACCATAGGGATAGTTAATAACCCTCCAAACAAATATTGGGAAAATCAGATATAATCTGTTGTACTTTGGCAGTATGAACCAGGTACTAATTTAAAGTTTCCAGTGAGCGATTTAACTTTTCAAATTAAAGTCCTGCCTAAGAACAAGCACAGCAAGTTGCTCGCTATTAGCTTTATTTGCTAAAAAAGCCTATTCTCTATGCCACTCTGACTCTGATTAAACTGTGTCATAAAGGGCTGAATTTGGGGATAAGTCCTGCCCACCTATCATCCCCATTATTAGCCAATGAGGAGTTCCAATGGGGCAGTAGGTGGGTGGGGCTTAGCTCCAAATGGCTAGAGTAAACCTTCAGTTCAAGGAAGTCAAGCCTTTAGTAACAAAATGAAAGAGGGGCACACAAAATAAACTTATCTAGCTATCAAAAGCTAAAAGCATGTGCTATCCAATGTAGTTTCTGGTGTTGGCCAGGGCCTTTACTTCTAATAGTTCAAATTGGCTGACAGGTTTGTTTAGGTAGTGTCTGTAAAATACTTTAACATCTACACACAAAGAAAGTATGCCTGTTCCCTTCCCAAGAGAATGGGGTAAGGTGTGTGCTTTTGCATTGCTCCAAGGCGAATCACAGGAGGAACAGTGCATGCGATGGAGTAGTTTAGGAAGGTTATAGCTTGAGGTATAGGAACACTGAAGTGGTTGTATATCAAGCTAAGAGCCCTCACCTCTCCAAGCCCTGAAATACAACAAAAAACATTTAAATACTGCAACAAGGCTTCAGTCTAAAATTCCAATGCACAGAAGAAAAACCTGAAACATTTTTAAAAATGGGAAGGCAAAGAGTGAAAACACAAGTGATTTGCATTGCTAATCACCCATAGAAGAGCCCTGATCAGCAGTACCAGACGTTCCAGCAACAAGAGCCTGGCGAATTGCTGTGACTGATGCAAACGCTGCATACTTACCATGCTAGCTGAATTCTGAAATACCCAAATCTAATAAATCTCTTCTGTGCCGGCGCAGCAATAGCACTCATAATAGTGACAAGGCAAACAGCAGGACCGCCGACACCTGTGTTGACAGAGAAATGTTTTGGGTGGTGGGAATAGGGAAATGAACATTTGTAAGTGCTCTCCTTTCACAGGCGACGAAGGAAAAAAGAAAATAGGGTGGAAAGGGAATTATCAGCATGAAGCAGTTTAGCACATTTCATTACTAGCGCATTTTCATGTGCTCATTATTCGTAGTCACCTGTATCACACTAATTAAATCACAGTCCAAACGGTTCGACGAAATCATACATATAATAATCATGGTTTAGCCAAGGGAGATTTTATTTGACTTACTAGTACAACTAATCAATATCACAGAGATACGCAGCTCATATAATTCATACGGCTTATTTTAAGTAGAACTGTAATACACTTCGGCCATTTAAACTGAGAATAAGATGAAATAGTCCATAAACAGAGGATGTGTTCATTAAAGTTCAGGTCCAAACAATCAGCAAGATACAAGCAGGTACAATTATACACAAATCTCAACTTGTTCAATACTTGGCCCTGCCCCATCCTGCCTTCTTAGCCTTGTTATTGGTCAAATTAAAGGACCAATAAGGGAGCTTAGAAGGTAGGAGAGATAACGATAGGCTCAAATTTTAAAGGGAAAGTCAAGATTTGGTTATAACTTCAGTTGCCTATATATGCAGTATATCGCTGACTGGAGGAACGGATGGGGAAGGGGGCAGGCACAGCTGGCTTTGCCTCTAGAGAGGCAGAGCCCGCTGTCAATCAGCCAGCTGGGTGGATCTCGACAGTATTGTCTAGATCTGTCCCGGCTGCGGCGCTCTCAGTATATAGCGAGCAATTGCTCGCTATATACTGAACTTTGGGTCATGGGAGGACATTATTATATGTCCTCCCATGACCCTAAAGAGAACTATGGGTTATAAAGGTTACCCCATAGTTCTATTTTAATGATTTAGACATGCAGATTGGACTGAAGTTAAAATGTGCTTATGCATTTCTTACCTATGTTAGGTTTGAATTTCCCTGGTGTTGTGATAGGTTTACCAAAAGCACAGCAAACATAACAATGTAACGTGTAAAGTGCAGTAACCACAGGGGATTTCAGTGTTCTGAAGTCATATAAGATAAATTCTGAATGGTAACTATATGATATAACATTTAATAGACTGTTCTTTGCATTACTAATGCCTGCAGCTGGCTGGAATGGGTTCATTATACGTGTTCAGTATGGCCAAAAACAGCTCTGACACAAAGAATAGTCATGGCATGATTACGCAGAGATTTTAGTTCCTAAGGATAACATATTATTAGGGAGTATCAGGAACTGCAGTGCTAAAAAAACTCATCCAAACTCCACACACAGTTCTGTCTTAAAAACAATACACAATTCAGCTTCCCTACTAGCCTGACCATGTTTTAAGATATCTGGACAGTTGTTCCATTTGCTAGGGAGTCAAATCTAGCCTTGCAATATTCAGGTAAGGCGGACTATGAAATAACCAGCTACGTAGCATCTAACATGGCAAAACTGTCTATCAAATGGGCACCACTCATTGTACTCATTGTTTAGACCAGGACTAGGAGCTATGGATATTTCTTTAAAAATTGTAATTATTTAAATCCCCCCAACATTTTAAAGTTTTACCCTCTCACAATACAGCACTGCCATTTGTGTCCTCCTCCACTGCTGGTCCTCTTCCAGGTCCCCGGGCTGTAATGGACAGACCTCAGTGGTTTGTCATCATGCCTGGGCTTACAAAACACTGCATAAATGGCATTTACTGAGCAGCCCTTAGGACTGCCTACAGCTATTGTTGTAGGAGAGGGACCCCACTTGTCATATGACCGGCCTGGAACTCAGGCCCTGTATTCTGAAACATGTTTAAAATGTATTGCGGTAATGAGTGTCAGGGGGAGAGAACTGGAGGGCGCTTCCCAACATGGTGTGGCGCTTTAACAGAATAGCCTACATTAGTAGATCAAGCCAAGTTCTAATTCTGTCAACTAAAATGGAAGACAGTTGGCTTGTAATTACGAAAACTGGATGTCATACTATTAAGTCAGCAAGGATTTGAACTCTCTAGGGAACGCTGGTAGCACCTTGATGTAAACATTTCAGGTTTGTTTAAAGCCAAAAAGAGTGTTCTTTTTATATTCCCAAGTATATGAAAATAAACTTTTGCATGTAACTACTGGCTGTAGGATATAGGATTTTGGAAGATGCATATTAGCGTAATCAGAATATCATGATGTTAAAACAGGAATACAAAAGGTACAACTTTACCCTCTGCCTTGCCACATAGATTATCCGGAGGTAACACAGCATCATCAGGAATATCAGGCTGAACAATGGAATGTACCATCTGAAATGAGTAAGAAAATATGTTTTTTAATAACCTTGATAATGACAAAAGCCTGAGGAATACATATCAATTAACACTTGAGGGAAGGATGGCCTTTCAGAATCTGATAACAATGGCAATACACAGAGGCTCACTTTCACCAATGACCGGTACAATGCCTGCTTGTTTACAGGCATCAGTTATTTGCTGTGCACACAATGGCAGTAACAAAGCACTCAGTGATGGGGGAACTCCAATGTACCATTAACAGTGGCATACTTCAGTGCAAGGAGACTAAGTTCCCATTTCTCATTACAATCTGTCTGTATATACTTTCCTATGGCCTACCTCCATAGGAGAGCCTGAAACAGCTCTATACAGTTTGAAATAAATGGCTCTAGAATATTAGGATGTATTTGTGTTGTAAACCGTTTTGTATAATATTTCTTTATTCTTTCTATATATAACAATACAGACATATACACATGGAAACATCCTGTTAAAAGACTCTCTCAAGAGAAATCCAATCAAAAACAGAAGATAAATGTGTGTTGTAAACCATTGGGTCTGGATGTAGAGTTTGCCAAAGGGCACAAAAAGATGATTTGCATTGCTCTGTCCAGTATCCTGAGATATAACATAACTGCATTTATTGGCGGTTTATGATACCTGCACAGAGCACAGTTTTTAAGTCATTACTGAAATTACTTTTTTACAAGATTGCTCTTCTATATTTTGGTTACTTTATAAAATGCTTTTTGATTAGCCACTACAGAGAGTGTTCATGAGCTTACTACGATTACTCGTCTGTTGATATCCTAATAACTGGTGAGATTAGCTTTTACTAATGCATATACCTCAAAGAGATGGTGGAAACACTGATTGAGGATTGTCCTGGGGCATTTATTACATATGTTGGAACAGCTGAACCAATGTGTAATTGGCTAACTAGGTAGAGGAACACATGTTAGTCATTGAAATGAAGGCGTATCCTGGCTATTTGGTCTGTATAAAGCTCCTGTGCCAGAGGGGAAACAACACCTTTTTGAGAAAGTCTCTACGACGAAACACGTAAAAGGAGTGTGCCGTTTCCCCGCTGACACCCTGGAAAGAGGCTAGCTATAAGTTGCTTATGCTGTTGTACCTATGGAAGTCTGTAAGTGCAATCAATTTTAAACTACTCGATAAATAAACATTTTACATCTGCACTTAAATCCTGTCTTCTCTCCTTCGGTCGGTCTCCCCCTCGGCTTTCTGGTTGATCCCTCCGGAGTGTTCTCCAGCCTTGGAGGTTGTTTAATTATCGCCAATGAGAGGAAGCGTAGCCTGACGGCAGGAGAGGACAGAGAAACTTACAGAGAAGGTTTCCTTTTTCTATTTTGCGGACGCATCAATGGAAGTATAAACAAAAAACACTGGATTTCTAATAACATTCGGTAGAAAATAGACTATTGGTGTTACAACCCTCGCTTATACAATTTTATATTTATCCACCTATATTTATTCACTTTATACTATTAGATGTGGTTTTAGATTTGTTAGATTGGTTATATATCAGTCTTCCTTCAAATTATTGTCCTTTTTATTTATTGTTGCCGATTTCCAGACTGATCAATTCACCTGGTTTATAATTCAACCATTTAGTATCCACATTGCATTTTCACTATATAGCACACATATGCATTATTCATTAACTTATTTAACTTATCATATTTAACCTATCAGTTTTATATTCGTACCTTCACCATATTTATATGACATGTGTATTTATTAACGTTCATGCACATATGCACTTTTGGATTGCATTTAGTTGCAAGTAGGATTTGATCACTTATATTGGTTCCGTTTGTGGTATAAATATAGCACGTATCACAATACCAAGCGCAGCACACTGGTTCACAATTGATTAGCCATCAACCACTTTGGGAGTGCATTGATTTTAGTGAGTCAACCAAAGATGGCCATACACCTTGAGATTTTAAAGAGAGTGGATGGAAGTCTCTCCCCTGCCAGCTATTGTATTCCGACAACTGGTTTCATAATACCCGAACAGTGACTGCAGCTGACAAAAATCGATTAAGCAAATCAACTTTTGTATTGTCCGGTGGGCGTGGGCAGGACCACCCACAGATCAAATTTCAGCTGATCCAGCAGGAAATGGTGGAAAATTGATGTGCCTGGCCAGCGTAACTCATGGATTTGCATTGTGAGGAGAAACATGTACAACCATTATATAGAACTGCAAAACGCGAACCCAAGCCTAAGTATATAATGAGAAAATACAGTTGTTCTCACGTACATATGTAATTATAAATAATACACAGAAACAAGGCATTCAAGGCATTTACACATATTGAATAAATCATTTACTTAAAACTGATCTCTTTATCCAGAAAACTCAGATAGACCATTTATTCCCTTTAACTCTGAACCGTATTGCTAAATTTTCCTCAATTCTATCGAAGAACATTTGTCACAGAGTCAAATAGGTAATACATGGCTCATTATCACTGTCAGCACCATGGACAGTGCTTAAGACATGCACTGTGTTGTCATCAAGCTGTAATTGACATACTATTGCATGGCCTGTTAAATCCCAGCCTACTCTAAGGGAAGCTTATTAGACATATATGAGGCATGATATATAGTATGAAATATTATTAAGTGCTTAAATGGTTGTACTTTCCAAGTATTAACTGGGATGATTGTCAGTCGTTAAAATCAACATTGTTTCCTCCTCCCTAGCATGACACTTCTATCTTTTAAACTGCAGCTTAGCTTACTACAGAGAAGAAACAGCTATGGGAGTGTTTTACCATCTTCAGGTAAAAGAAATGCTCTCATTTACATGTTATCCATATTAACAGATGTCTGCATAAAGAAATAGCAAAGGTGGAAAGTTTGGATTAACCAGATTTGCTTCACTTCTATTTTTTTAAAAGTTATTTATAAAAAAGCAAAGTGAAATCAAGAAAGGTCAGCTTTTTTCACTGGATGTAATAGCTAATATTAGGTGATATGTGGGGTGCACAGTGTTAATCCTGCATAGGGTTAATTATTTAGATGCTTATTGCATAAAAAATAAAAGGGCACGTCCACAAATGCTGCTACCCTACTACAACAGGAATGTGGGCAAGGGCCAGTGTGCATGGCCCCCCTGCCCTGATGATACCAGCATGTATGTCCAGTACATACGCGGTATGTACTGGAAAGAAAAGATGCATCTTACATACCACCTGTGTCTGACACTGGTAGTCCTAGGCTCTTTGGCACACCTGGCGCAAAGGGGTTGTCAACTTTTGGAAAAAAATTTATGCGTCTCCTTCCTACTTGGGGGACACGTAGTTTGAGAATCCACTCAGTGAGGAAACTTACACATTTATCAGTCCGTGCAAGCATTAAATAGCTCAATTAAAAAAGGTCTCAATTTAGTTGAAAAATATGATCCACCCTCACTTTACCCAATTTATTTAGCCCTCTCACAGATTTTAAGGCAATCCCCAGACTCTGCCAAGTTAAAAGCACTAAATATAATGTTAAATCCTCAACATCAAATCCAATTGAACTATAATTTTATTTGGCAAACAGTGCACTATTTGGGTATTCAAGTTGCATCTCCTTTCAACTTTTTATTCAAAGCTAATTACCTACCCTTTTTTAAGGAACTCTCTTGACAACTTGGCACTCCTTACCCCTATCCTGTCTAAGCATAATAGATAATGTTTTTATACAGCCATGTCAGTCAATATCATTTCATGTTAAAGTGATATTAAAGTCAAAGGTTTTTAAGCTATTTCAAATGCTGATTAAATCACTTATGATGGATGCTGCTCCTTAATGTTTAAAAGTTTTAGTTTCCTGCAGAATCAGCTGGTCCCCTGAGAACTGGTCCTGATATCCCTTTCAGGGTGGCTTCTTTCCCTTGCAGGGTGCTATGTAGTCACCCTTGTATGTGCTAGTACACTGTGTGTGTCTCCACACACATACAGCCACAGAAGGGCAATAAACTGCCCTCCCCCTCCTCCTTTCTACAAACTAGTAGATGGTCAGCTGCTGGAAAACTACTTTGTTCTTTATAATCTTGTACTGAACAGGGAGCTCAGGGACGTGGCGCTAAAAGAGTTGGAGCTGTTTGGAAACATGATGACTAAGTGCTTGGGAAAAATGTAATTGTCCTTCACACCGAATATGAAACAAATTACAAAAATAATACATTTAATTCACTTTAATCATTATTGTACAGGCATCCCAGGGTTACGAACAAGATAAGGACTGTAGGTTTGTTCTTAAGTTGAATTTGTAGGTAAGTTGGAACAGGTACATTTTTTAAGTGTAACTCCAGCCCCAAATGTTTTTTTTTCTTTGTTTTGGATAGCATAGGGAAGGGTTTATCCCCTGTAAAGTTTGTTTTGCTGTGTGTGCCCCTGTCCAGAAGATTTCACCTCACTTTCTGCCCCTGTGACAATTGGATTTTGAAAATGTTGGGTTGTCATAGAAACAAGGATTGGTGATAAAGCTTTAGGCCCCATTCACACTGCGCGATTCGCAAATCGAGCGTTTGTCCTTTGCATTTTGCGCAATATTGCACGATTTGTCGCGCGATATCGCGCAAATGCTTGCATTGAGCAAGCTGGAATCGCGGCTAAATCCGCTCCAAAAAGGGTCCTGCTGTAGCGGCGCACGACCCGCGACAGCAGGACCCTTTGCCCCATTGAGAAGCATTGGAGCGATATTGCGGGAATTACCGCGCGATAAATCGCTAAGTGTGAACGGGGCCTTAGTGGAGACACCTTTTTTCCATGACCCCCCTTCAGGAGTGAATTTCCCTTCCTAGGGGTAGATTTGCTTTTACTTCCTGTTGTCTCAAGGACAGGAAGTGAGATTAAATATTTCTAATGAGGAGACAGACAGCAGTAAAAACCTCACAGCGACCCGGCAGACGAGGTGGGCACCCCTCGTCTACACATCTAACAAGAGCCAACTTCATGTACGTACAGTACTACAAAACCAGACCCAAAAAC